ATCTAGTATATGATAAGTACATATAAGTGTTAAATGAGTAAGAGTCCATTGTCTAATTATAGCATTCATTTGCCCAAAGTTAAATTATGTAAAATTGTATTGGATATCAACATTCTCTATGTAGGAAAAACTGTTTATTAATAACGGTAGAATTCTTAGCCTTAATTTGACCTGGAAGTCCTGAATTAGTATAGCTGAACATCTATATTTTTAATTTTAATATTTTCTGATATATTAGAAATATTAATAATATACTTATTAAATAAGATGTTGGATTTATAGCTGTGTAGTACTTTTATATTTGCTCATTTAAGATGTACTTAAGGTACATGAGTGGAGCTGTTTTACATTGTTCTCTTACCACTGAGCTAACTCCAAAATTGATACTTATTTTTATGTAATTAAATGTTCATTTTTTAGAAGCCATTGCCTGCTTGGATTGATCTTCCAAATGAAATATTTCCCTTGAACGAGATAATACATGTGCTTGGTTCTATTTAATTCCTCTGCTTCTCTGCAAGTTTCTTCACAGTTTTTTTGATGTTGAGTAAGTTTTGTACTTGTTAATTATAAATAAGATTATGCATTTTCATTATTAGTGAAGGAAGAACCCAATTTAATGCTTTGATACATTTTGACTATTGCCTTTGGCAGTATATGTCACTGTGAAAATTGATATTCACTTCAGTTTTGTTTAATTTTATCAAATGTATCCTTTTTCAGAGGAATTACCACACACCCGGCACCAATTTCTGGAGTTCCCATATTTTTTTAATATGTATACACGTGTTGTATTATTCTGTGTATGTATACACAGAATAACTTCCTCTCTTCATGCAAAATAGCAATTCAGATTTTAAATTACCTCTCTTGTCCATTAATAGACAAATGGATAAAGAAAAAAATGTGGTTGGGCCAGTCAGTGTGGCATGGTAGTTGAGGTGGTTGGATCCCTCATGCTGACTCCACAGTTTGAATCCCAGATCCAGTGTCCTGAAAAACATGCAGGCATTCACATGTGTGCCCAGATCCTGAGAGAAGATTGGAGGCAGTGGAATTGTGGTGTGGCCATCCCCTGAGGGTGCTTTCTTTCTTTATCTTTGGTGAGTGTACTCAACCTATAGCAAATTAAAACAAAATAAAATGAGATAAGAAAAGTGGTATGCGAAAAGTGGTATGCCCATACAATGGCATACTATGCATCCATTAAAAAGAATGAAGTCTGGTCATTTGTGGTAAGATGGGTAAACTTGGAGGATATTATGTTAAGTGAAATAAGCCAAGTACAGAATGAACTATCACCTGTTCTCCTTATATACAAATTAGGGGGGGAAATGACCTCATAATTGTAGTGACATCAATATCACTTATCATAAGGGAAATACAAATCAAAACCTCAATGATTTTGAGGTTTTGCCATACCAGCAAGTGGTATGGCAGCTAAGGTGCTGGGCTCTCACATGGCCGCCCACAGTTCAAGTCCCAGACTTGGTGGCTTGAAACTCATACCAGGGATGTGTGCATCTCTGCCCAAAATCCCAAGAGGAGAGTGGGAAAGAAGGGATTGCAGTGTGGCCACCCACCCGGGGAGTGATTTCTAGCTCTTTGTCTCTCTCCGTATCTCCAGTAAGCATATGTTCGCTAAAGCAAAAGATGCCTTACTATAAGATTGCAGTATAGACTCAACAAGTTAAGTCTCTCCCTGCTCTAAATCTAATTTTTGCAGTGCAGCCATCTTGATCTGGGAGGCAAATATGATATAACCCCTCCACCTAAACTCCTTTAGTAATTCGTAAAGCTCAGGATGGACTAGAATTACTTGTTCACTTTTCTTACTAGGAGAGGCAAGAACTCTGTTTTATGTAATGTTATGATTCATATATTGGCTCAATATTGTCTTTTAAATTTATTTCTTCCATGGGCAAGAGAAAAACAGACAGAGATAGGGAGCCCAAACAGAGTATTCACACTGTGATTTCTCCCAGTCTCAGCAGCCTTGGGTCGTGGGCACACATGCACCTACACAATTAGGGAAGTCTTCAGGACACAAACTTGGAAGCTTCCCATGTGGGTCAGTCTCACTGTGTCAGTGCTAGTGCTGAGCCATCTGGCCTCTGATTCTTTTTAATGAATAAATCATGGGAAAACATTATAGCACAAAGGGTAAATGCCCTCTGTGTTAAGCAGAATAAATTAGGTTATCCTGTAGAAATAGAAACGTCAAAATCTCAGTGGCTTAACATCACAAAAGCTTATTGCTTGCTCAGCTACAACTATTGGGTTGTCAGAAAAGTAAGGATGTATTTTTCTATGCAAAAACACATAACTTCCCACAACCCTATAGTTTGCTGGGATTCCTTGCTCCTCGGTTATTCGGGAAGACACCGAATGGCAGATTTCCGTAATCACTGCAGCCAGGGACAGCCAGGCAAATCTTGTGTTGACTTTTAAGGTGACATACTTGCCCTCATAATTCACTGACAGGGTGACTCACATACCATGCCTGTTCAAAGTCTGTAAGCATGGCCACATTCCCAGGACAGGACACATAAACATCTGTATGCACCCAGGTGATGTCACACCCTTGGTCATAGTGAAGACTTTTTTTTTAGAATTATTTTATTTAATTTTATTTATTTTAATTTGACCAGAGAGAGAGAGTGAGAGAGATGGAAAGTAAGAAAGCAAGCCACCAGGTCCAGGACTCTAACTGTAGTTGGCCATGTGGGAGCTAGTGCACTTAACCACCACACAACCTGCTGGCCCCAGTGAAGACTTTCAGTTGTGTATGACATAAATCTGGCTCAATCCAGTTTAAGGAGTGATAAGAGAACTATCACTTCATTTTAAAAGGGAATAAGAGAAAACTGCAGGGCTACAGATCAAGCTCTGCTCTGCTGAAAAATACTATCTTCCACCATTTTATAATCCTAGAGACTTTTCTAGCCACACCAGAATGATTTCAGAAACCAGAGCAGTCTGTTGAGGAACAACAACTTATAAGAACTTGGAGAGGTTTTTGCTATAGGGTGCACGCCCTCACCAGAAAGACAGAGAGACAGAAAGCAAGAAATCACCCCTCGGGGGATTTGAGTCCCAGACCCGGTGACTTAAACTTACACTAGGCGCATGTGTGTGCATACCCAAGATCCAGAGAGGAGAATGGAGGAGAAGGGATTGCGGTGTGACCATCCTCCTGGGGGGTGATTTCTTGCTTTTTCTCTCTCTGTCTTTCTGGCAAGTGTGTGGGCCCTATAGGAAAAACCTCTCAAAAAAGAAAAAAAAAAAAAACCCACAAAAACAAACAAAAAAAAAAAAAAAAAAACCCAAAAAAAAAAAAAAAAAAAACAACGGAAAAAAAAAAAAAAAACAGAAAAAGAGTAGATCATAAAATTAAAAAAAAAAATACTGCAAGTGTAGACTGTAACTAATTTTTTTCCCCGTAATTTTGCTTTAGTCTCCTCCATTAGAGAATGACTGATTGTCCATATGGCCACCAATATCACCTAATCCTTAACACTTCATCTGTCCTACCACACCAGAGAGGTCTAAATGTTGTAGTATCTAAGTCAATTTTTAAAAATTGTCTACTTTTACCCTTGTAGCATTATTAACCTTTGTTGATTTCAGGATTTCATTAATTAAATTATTTTTGCTGACAGAAATAGAGGAATCATGGAAGGGAGAATATAAACTACAATCTTTGGATTTAACCAGAAGATTATCAAGGATTTCAATAGAAATGGAATTAGAGTAGAGGAAAGTAAAAATAAATAAATAAATTTATTAGTTCTCTATTGCTGTTGTGACCACAAACTTAATGGTTCAAAACAGTAAAAATATATCATCTTACAGTTCTTTAGATCTGAAGGCTAAAATGGATCTCAGCAATCTGAGATCTAAATATCAGTTGGGTGTGTCTAGAGGCTGCCTGACTTTCTTGACATGTGGCCTTCCTCCTTCACCTTTCTTTTTTCTTTTAAAGTTTTTGCCGCAGGGCACATGCGCTCTAGTGACAGAGGGGGAAAGTGGGAAATCATGGCAAGTATGGCCATGCCGCAATCCTTTCTTCTCCTTTCTCTTCCTGGGCTTTTGGGCATGCATGCACACATGCCCAGCATGATTTTCAGGCTGCCAGGTGCAGACCCAAACCATAATGAGTCACGTGGGAGTCCAATGGCCACTGGACTGGTCCCCTGCTAGTCCCCTATCTTTCACCTTTAAGGCCAGTGACACCAGACCAAATTGTCCTCATGATGCCAGTACTCTAGTTCTCACTTCCAATTATTCCCTTCTTCCATGCTTAAGGGTTCTTCAATTTTTTAGTGCCATGATGGTATCATGTCTGAGATCCTCTCATTTGCTCCTAAAGCAAGATAGAAAGAAAATATTGGACACACCCTTATACTGGACACAAATATAGCAACCGGATGTTCTCTGTATCCTACATTTACCTGGTTCACCCACAGTGCTTAGCAGAAGTCACCAGGGTGGGGTAGATTTATGCAGCACAGAATGACGGCTTCATTTCCTCCTTTTGTTCTCGCTATGAGCCAGGATCACTGTCACAGAGCATAAGATTACAGTCCTCTGTTTCTTTGGAATCTGTATGAGATTTCTCCATGTTAAACTAAAAAATTAACTACATGTGGGTGTTAAATACACTAGCATTCTCTTTTTTCGCTTGCCAGAAAGAAATAGAAAAGGAAATTAAGAAATCACCCCCCGGGAGGTTGATCACTCTGCAATCCCTTCTCTATTCTGCTCTTGGGATTTTGGGCATCCATGTACACACGCCCAGTGTGTTTTTCGAGCTGCTGGGTCAAAGCCTTGAACCATGGAGTCACCAGATGGGATCCAGCCACCTCAACACTAGCAGTTTTTTCTTTGCTAAACTTGATTAAATTAAATTTTAACCTAAATCCCAAATGTCTCTTGGAATTTTTGAAACAATTATTTAAAAATATAATCTATAGCCCTCTTCTATCTATTCTACTTCTGACTCATTGAGCTTAATTTTTCTCCTTTTTGAGCATACACACAAAATTAAAGTGGTCTAGACCAGAGAATTGCTCAAATACAGTTTTTCCATGACTTCTAGAAGTGGGATAAAACCCACCTGTTCTCACTTTTTAGGAAAACAAATAGCTGAGATGAATGAATAAAAACTGAAATAGAATGAGAATTTAATTCATCTTCAAAACCCAGCAATAAGTAACATAATTACTGACTGCTGTACTGAAAATGGAAACCAGAGTGGTCATACAGGTACTTGAAATAAAGTGTCTTCTTAATTTCTTTTTTTTTTTTTTAATAGTCAGAGGGCATATGTACTCAGAGAGAGAGAGAGAAATGAGAAAGCACCTACATGACCAATGGGCATGGTCACATCACAACTCTTTTTCTTTCATTTCTCCTTCCCATCAGGATTTTGGGCACATATGCACATGTGCCTGGCATGGTTTTCTTTTTCTTTTTTTTAATAGTCAGAGGGCATATGTACTCAGAGAGAGAGAGAGAAATGAGAAAGCACCTACATGACCAATGGGCATGGTCACATCACAACTCTTTTTCTTTCATTTCTCCTTCCCATCAGGATTTTGGGCACATATGCACATGTGCCTGGCATGGTTTTCTTTTTCTTTTTTTTAATAGTCAGAGGGCATATGTACTCAGAGAGAGAGAGAGAAATGAGAAAGCACCTACATGACCAATGGGCATGGTCACATCACAACTCTTTTTCTTTCATTTCTCCTTCCCATCAGGATTTTGGGCACATATGCACATGTGCCTGGCATGGTTTTCTTTTTCTTTTTTTTTTTTTTAATAGTCAGAGGGCATATGTACTCAGAGAGAGAGAGAGAAATGAGAAAGCACCTACATGACCAATGGGCATGGTCACATCACAACTCTTTTTCTTTCATTTCTCCTTCCCATCAGGATTTTGGGCACATATGCACATGTGCCTGGCATGGTTTTCTTTTTCTTTTTTTTTTTTTTAATAGTCAGAGGGCATATGTACTCAGAGAGAGAGAGAGAAATGAGAAAGCACCTACATGACCAATGGGCATGGTCACATCACAACTCTTTTTCTTTCATTTCTCCTTCCCATCAGGATTTTGGGCACATATGCACATGTGCCTGGCATGGTTTTCTTTTACTTTTTCTTTTTTTTTTTTTTTTTTTAAGCTTTTGTCATAGGACATGTGCAGTTGTTGGAACAAGACAGAGAGGGAGAATGTGAGAAATCAACCACCTAAGTGGGATAGCCACACTGCAATCCCCTCTTTTCCATTTCCTTAATGGGATTTTGGGCATGTAGATACACAGGCCTGATGAAATTTTTTTTTTTTTTTAATGTTTGCCATATGGAGTGTGTGCTTGCTGAAGGGACAGAGTGAGAGAATGTGAGAAATCACACACACACACATACACACACACACACACACCCAGTGGAGGGATGGCTGTGCTGCAATCTTCTCCATTTTCCTCTTGGGATTTTGGGTACATGTGCCCAGCATGATTTTCAAGCTGCCAGGTGCAGGATCCCAACCACATGGGAGTCCAGCACTTTAACCACTAAACCATCTGCTGACCCAACCCAACGTGATTTTTAAGCCATAAAGTCTGGAATATGAACCGTGGTTGGCCATGTGGGAGTCCAGTGCCTTAACCACCATGCCACTTGCTGGGCCCTCTGGTATGGTTTCTAAGCCACCAGCTCTGGGCTTAGAACCGCAGTTGGCGAGATGGTATCCAGCCTTCTGTGCACTGCACTGAACTACTGAGGTACAAGGCCAGCCCTGAGAGTATAATTATCACTAAACGTGTATTGCTTCACATTTTTTTAAAATAGATTTTTGTCTTAGGGCACACACATTCGCTGGAGAGAGAGAGAGATAGAGACAGTGAGAGGGAGAGCAAGAAATAACCCCCTGAGGGTCATACTGTAATCCCTTCTTCATTCTCCTCCCAGGATCTTAGGCACGCACGCACATGTATCTGGCATGAGTTTCAAGCCACCGGGTCCAGGATTCAAACCACAGTTGGCCATGTGGGAGTCCGCAACATAATTGCTAAACAATCTGCTGGCGCCACTTTCACACCATTTTAAAGTTGAAAAATGGTAAGTCAAACCATCATAAGTTGGAGATCTGTGTGTGTGTGTGTGTGTGTGTGGAGGGGGGGGTGAGATTTGGCTCATACAATAATAGGGGTTAGGGATTATCTGCAGTCAGTAAACTGGAGACCCAGGAGAGCTAATGGTGTAAATTCTAGTCTAAAAGGCAATAGGCTAGAGACCAAGAAGAACTGTGATATTGCAGTTCAAGTCCGAAAGCAGGAAAAGTCTAATGTCTCAGCTCAAAGCAGTGAGACAGGAGGAGTTCCTTCTTGCTTAAGGAAGGGTTTGAAATTTTGTTCTATCCAGGCCTTAAAACTGATTGGATGAAGGCCACCTACATTAGGGAGTACAACCTAATGTGGTCTACTGATTCAAATGTTCATCTCATCCAAGCACACCCAAATATCTGGACACCCTGTGGCTGAGTCAGGTTGATACCGAAAATTAACCATCGCGAACTATGAGATAGGATGGCAGTCCACGAGTAAGTTACAGGCTATATTTAAAACTTCACTTTGACTTGATCTGGTTTCCCATCCAAAGCAAGTGCCTCTCAACACCATACTAAAAAGAAACAAAAACAGGGCCAGCAGGTGGCATGGAAGTTAAGTGTGGGAAGCTGCACACCAGCGAGTCTGCCAAGGTTTCTCAGAGAGCAATTACCATGATTGGTTCCCTTCCAAAAACCTGACCTTCGAAACCTTGCTCTGATTGGCCACTAGAATCCCTCAAATTTGCATATCTGGCACCTCATGATTGGTCCAAAAGCAACCAATCATAACCCACCGTTAACAACCAATCAGGGCCCACCGTTTACAACCAATCACAGTCCACCATTTACAACCAATCACGACCCACCGTTTACAACCCACCAGAGTGTATATAACCATGATGCCTGGCCCACAGTAGCCAGACGACACAGACGACCGAGATGACGACAACAACCAGGAAGACGACAACTGAAGAGCCTGAAGAGCTGAAACACCGCGCAGTCTCCAGACGACCCTGAAGATCCTGAAGAGCTGACACTGCATCATCTACAGACGACTTGGGAGACCCTGAAGAGTTGTAACACTACATCGTCTCCGGATGACCCTGAAGAGCTGTGACACCGCGTCATCTCCGTGCTGCTCACAGTAGACGACGCGACACTGCATCGTCTCTGCTGTACCGTGCTTCCCACAATAAACGGACGACACTGTCGTCTCCGTGCTGTAACACTACGCCGCTTGTCCCGGCTCTCACTCCTTCACTCAGGAAACCTGTTCGGCTGTCCCCCGGGTCGGGACAGTTAAGACACTGGATCCCACATAGCCAGACCGCACAGTTTGAGTCCTGAACCTGGCAGCTTGGGCATGCACACACATACCCGAGTCCCTAGAAGAGCCTAAAGGAAAAGGGACTGAACTGTGGTCATCCTTTCTGGGGAATAATTTCTTATTGTCTTCCTCTCTTTGTCTCTGGCGAATGCACTTATAGCAAAACTAAAAGCAAACAAAAAAACAAAAACCACATTTTCTTTGGCTGTACCTTCAGTCATGCTTAAGGGCAGCTGTAAATCCATAGGTTTATTTAAATGTCTGCTGTCTTAATTCAGGTCTTTAACTGCTTTTCTCCTGGCCTATTGGAATAACTCTTTACTTCTCTACTTCCTGTAGCCCTCCTGTCCTCCACAACACTGGCAGAAAGATTGTTCTAAAACACAAGTTAGATCATGTTCTCTGCTGTCCTGCCTCCACAGAAACGATTGGTTCCAGTCTTCGACTCCATGTCATCTCCTGTGGGTACGAACCAAGTGCCTCAAATATCAGCGACAGTAACACATGCAATTCCCTAAATAAATTTGGTCCTCTGCATTCATGGGTTCTTCCTCCATGGGTTAAACCAACCATGGATTCAACAACAGTGGGTCAAAGATGCTGTTGATGTATACTACGTAGTTAGACCTATGATGGCTGCTTCTGTTTTGAATATTTCCAGACCTTTTTTCTTATGGGTAGATTCTACACAATAGCTTAAGAACTGTTTACATAGTATTTACATTGTTTTAGGCATTATAAGTAATACAGAGATCATTTAAAGTACAAGTGGGAGGTTACCCAAAGCTCATATGCAAATACTGTAACATTTTATTAGGTTGTCAGGAAAGTCATGATATATTTTTCTGTTTTTCTGTACAAAAATGTGTCCGACTTTCCTGACGACCCAATATACAAGGCATTTGTGTATCTTCAGGTTTTGGCATCCTTGGGGGGGTCCACAAAACCACAAATACCAAGGAACAACGGTAATCTATGTCCTTCCAAGTATTAATATTTGTTGCTGTAATTAGCATAAATATTTTTCATTGTCAAGCCATTATGGGGCCAGTAGGTGGCATGGTAGTTAAGGCACTGGACTCCCACAGGGCCGATCATGGTTCAAGTTACACACCTGGCAACTTGAAAAATCATACCAGGCACATGTGTGTGTTTGTGTGCCCAAGTCCTAAGAGGAGAATGGAGGAGAAGACATTGTGGCATGGCCATCTTCCTGGGGATGATTTCTCACTTTTCCTCTCTCTTTCTCTCTCTCTCTCTCAGATGAGTGCATGTGCCCTATGGCAACACCCTAAAAAAAAACATTATGAGCCAGCCCATGGCCTGGTGGTTAAGGCAGCTGGATCCCACATAGTTGACCCCATAGTTTAAGCCTCAGGTTTGGTGGCTTGTATGTGCATGCCCAAGATTTTGAAAGGAGGGAGAAATGGAGAAGTGATTACAACATGACCATGCCCCATAAGGGGGTGCTTTCTTGCTTTTTCCTCTCCCTCTCTGTTTCTCTATGTCTCTCCAGTGAGTACATGTTGCCCTCCAGTAAAAATTAAAACAGTAATAATAAAGCCATTACTCTTTCTCCCAGATAATATTTTTTTCCTCCGTGTTTTCTGAGTACCTCCTACATTCTACATACTGTATTGTAATCTTTCCTCAGTGTTGCTCCAATACATTGTAAGCTCTTTGAGAGCCTGAACTGATGTTATTGAATTCTAGATCCTCAAGATTTAGTACAATGCTAGACACATCATAAGTGCTCAATATGCATTGAATGAACAACATTCTACAGCAGCAGTCTCCAACCTTTTAGGACCACAGACTGGTTTTGTTTTCAAAGACTGGAGTGGGGAGATAGGATTTAAGTGATTACATTTATTGTGCATTTCATTTCTATTGTTATTATATTGTAATGTATAATGAAATAACTATATAATTCACCATAATGTATTTGCAGTTGCTCCCCAGTGCTAGCATCACCACCTCAGCTCCTCTGCAGAACATCAAGCATTAGATTCTCATAAGGAGTTTACAACCACTATGTCATCTGCTGGTACCAGGAGCATACAACCTATTGTAGATCCCTTTTATGTGCAGTTCTCAATAGGGTTCACACTCCTGTGAGAATTTAATGCTGCTGTTGATGTGACAGGAGGCAGAACTCAGGCATTAATATTAGCCAGCACTGGGGAATGGGTCTAAATACAGATGAAGCTTCACTTGCTCCACTGCTGATCACCTCTTGCCAGGTAGCCTAGCTCCTAACAGGCTATGGACCAGTACCAGTCTGTGGTCCAGGGATTGGGGACTCCTGTTCTATAGAATTTTTTTTTTTTTTTAATTTTTGCTATAGAGCCCATCCACTCACCAGTAGTGGGGGGGTGGGAGGGGTTGAGAGAGAGAAAGTGAGAAATCACTTCCCAAGGGGGATGGCCACACTACAACTACAATCCCTTCTCCTCCATTCTCCCCTCGGGATTTTGCACATGCACACACATGACCCTGGCTTATCTCTCAAGTCACCGGGTCTGGGACTCAAACCATGAAGTTAGCTATGTGGGATCCAGCAGCTTAATCACCATCCCACTGGTTGGCCCTAGGATAACATTTTACTCTCCCAGTCTAGATGAGACTTCCTTAAATTCATCCATGTTCCTTTTTCAAAAAAATTTTTTGCTAGAGGTCACATGTGCTTTCCAGAGAAAGACAGAGAGAGAGAGGGAAAGGTAGAAAGCACCTTCCATGATGCAATCCCTTCTCTTTCATCTCTCCTTCCCTTCTGGATTTTGGGCATGCATGCACATGTGCCTAGCATGTTTTCCTAGCCACAGAGTCCAGGACTTGACTATGTGGTTGGCCATATGAGAGCTAGCTGCCTAACCCACCAGACTGAAGGCTGACCCCATGGAAGACCTTTTTATCTAGACAAGGGTATCTTAAATGTCTATGAGAATTTTATCCACTGTATAGATGAATAAAGTGATAGAATCAGCCTGGCTTTTTAAGGTCTCTTTTGAGTTTCGTTTCTTTTTTTTAGATAATTATTTTATTTAACTTTATTTATTTTATTTATTCATTTATTTATTTGTTTTAATTTTACCAGAGGGGGACAGAGTGAGAAAGAGAGGGAGAGAAAGTGAGAAAGCAAGCCACCAGGTCTGGGACATGAACCGAGGTCAGCCACGTAAGAGTCCTATATCCTTAACCACCATGCCACCTGCTGACCTGAGTTTAGTTTCTAAGACTCAACCTGTCAAAACATGATCACATTGATCAAAGAAAACAACAACAACAACAAAATAGAAATCCTGAACATATAGTAAAGAACTACCAAGAATCCAAAGAACTGATCAAAGCATAGACCCTGTCAGAGTGAGACAAGAGGGGACTAAGGCAAGGGACATTCTAAACACTTACAATAAAACAAACGTGCTTTTATTCTCTCAATGGCCTTTTATTTCCTGTAGGAAGCTAAAGATCCTCACATCTCTTGTGGAGACCCCTACTGGATGAATCTCTCCAGCAACAAGAGCATTCAGATGATTATTAGATCTTTTTCCCTTTAACTTTTCTTTAAAAATAATTTTATTAACTTTATTTTAATTTGACCATAAAGGGACAGAGTGAGATAGAGAGAGAGAGGCAAAGCGAGAAAGCAAGCTTCCAGGTCTGGGACTCTAACCACGGTCGACCATGTAGGTGTCCAGCACCTTTAACCACCACGCCACCTGCTGGCCCTCTCACCTTAACTTTTATTCTGTCCCTGGAGTCTTGTCGCCAGGTATGTGTGGGTATGTGCCCAAAATCTCAGGAGGAGAATGGAGAAGGGATTGTGGTGTGGTCATCCCCCTGAGGTGTCATTTCTCACTTTCCCTCTCTCTAGGTCTTTCTCTGTCTCTCTCCAGACAATGCATGTGCCCTGTGGCAAAAAAATTTAAGTTTTTTTAGAAAAAGGGCTGACAATCTTTGACTACTCTAGTCACTTATTGCCTTAAGTAATTTTTGTAGTAGTTTTCCAGTTATCGATAATGCTTATTTGTTTCTACTTTAATTTTTGTTTTGTTTTTGATAAATAATTTTTCAAATTGGAAATAATTTAGCTATCCCTGAAACAGCATTTGGGGTTTAATTTGCTCTTTCTTTGACATTTGCTAATCTTAAGGAGTTGTTTTTACTCATCATTCTTTTGTAATTTTTTTAATCAGCTATTTTATTTATTGGGACTTTTTTTTTAATGTGAGGATAATAATTTCTTCATCTTTTTTTGTCTGTTTTATTTACAGTAATGACTGTAGCACCTGGACTAGTGCCTGCTAAAAGTTGGTGCTTACTAAATATGTGTTAAATGAATGAGTGAAAACTTTAAAGCAAATTATTATTTTTTTAACCTCCCAACTCCTAGTACTGGTTCTAATACACACACAAATACTTTTTTTTCTTTTATTGAAATCAACAAAATGCTTATCATGCTCTCAATGGAAAAAAATTATCACTAAGATGTTTTTAACATTCTAAAAGAATTATTTTTAAAGTAAATTGTCTCAAGTCCCCCTTGTATGATTTGAGAATTTTTTTTTAATGTGAAGAAAGGACTTCTGTATTTAAATTAGTGTTTTTCTTAACTACTGCTCAGAAGAAGATCACCCATTTCGATCAGTAATTCTGTCCCTAGCCTTCTTGTTTTCCATAATTAAAGGTAATTTACTTAAGTACCTGACATCTCCATTACAGAATACTCTCCAGTTTCCCAGGAGGCTGATCAAGGGCAATTCCAGGAATCCTGCTACAGTAGCTGCAACCAGTAAGCATTTAGAGAAATGCGGCCTTATTTCAGGAAGCAAGGTTTGGAGGAGTAGACCAATGATGAGGTCACACTATCACCACAAGAGACCAAGACTATGACTCACCAAAAGTCCCTTTGCAAACCTTGGGACTTAGAGGAAGAAACACCTGACATGTGTCACTAATAAAATATGCACGTGTTCCACTTTACAGTGTGTGATTATAGAAGCAGGAAAACTCAGGACACAGGGCACATAGTTTCGGTCTATCCCAGTCGTGTCGACATGAAAATTTCATGTGTGTATTGTTGGGGCTCAGAAGACAATACTCCAAAGGTCAGTGCACTGTTATGCTGACGGGCCTGAGGGGGCCTCAGAATCCCTCTAACCGTGTTTTGTTCCCTGCGGCCACAAGCACTGAAAGAGATTCTGTGACTGAGAGGAAACTTCTTTCCAGTACAGAAGCAATTGTCTTAAGCCCCTTCCTAGGAATCTCCTCAAGCAACCAGAGACAAGGAGACTAAAGGTCTTCATATCTCAGGACACTCAAACCAGGCAGGCTTTCGAATTGTTCTTCTGTGGGTAGTTCTGAAATCTCAACAAAGAAACTTTATTTGCAAAAGATAACCTGTGTTTCTGTGCAGTTTCACCCCTCCTGTAACTTAGGGGTCCCACCCAGCTCTCAAAGAAAATAATTTACTAACCATTGTCTGAGCATTGGACCCATTTATTCCCCCATCTCCTTCTCCTCTATGAGGAGGTATTTAGGCCTTAATGATCTAGCCTCTCTTTGAGTTCATATTTTGTATGACTTCTATGTACACATGTATATGTTAAAATAAATTTGTGGGATCAGCAGATGGTATAACGGTTCTGTTGCTGGACTCTCACGTAGTTGACTACAGTTCGTGTCCCAGATCCAACGGCTTAAAATTCATGCTTGGCATGTGTGCGTGCATGCCCAAAATCCTGAAAGGAGAATGGAGAAGAAGGGATTGTGGAGTGGGCATCCCCCCGGGGGTTGGGATGATTTCTTTCTCTCTCACAAGTGCATACGCCCTACAGCAAAAAAATCCTCTAAATAAATAAATAAATAAATTTGTATACACTTTTTCTCATTCATCTGCCTGTCAATTGATTTTCAGCCATCCTTTAGAGGAGTTTGGGAATTTCCTTAGCCTCTTCTACACAAATGAATTTTTACTGAACATATACTACATATTTAAGTATTTTGTATATTATTACTAAGTGACTGCATTAAACATAAACTAAAGTAATACAGTTGAGATTCCCAACATAACTTATTTTTCATTCTTTTAGTTGCTGAAGATATATGAAATGATCATTTACACTAATCTCATAGAGCTGCCATGAAATTAAATGACTAAAAAGTTATAACTATTGTTATTGGACAGGGATGCTGAGCTTCATTGTGTGAAATTGTTGCTTCTGTGATGATATTCAGATTCTTGGTGTTTTAGACAAAGAATTAAATGAAACACATCAATGGTGAGAGGAAAAGGTGGTTTATTAAGCATAAATGGAGTACACTTCTGAGAAGTAGGAGCTGGCCTGAGCAAACAGAAAAAGAGTGGCTCAAAAAACCCTGGCAATTATATTCTGCGAGGTTTATTATTTTTTAATCTTGGTTGATCTTTGGCTGGGTCCACTGATTGTTCCCATCTCGTTGGCTCTATCAAATGTGGCTTCATCGGCTAGACATCCCTCCTGGAAGTCTCCTGCCTGCATTACCTTGGATGGGATTTTCTGCCCTGGCCAGTTTTTCTATATCTAGCCACATGGGCAGATACTCCAGACCCCTTTCCTCCTTTCATTTGCTAGCTTCCTCCTGCCCCCAAATCTTCAGTTCTTTAGATCCAGATCTCTAAGGTTAGAGACCAACCCTGAGACACAGAATGAGGCCATAAACACGAGTAAGCAGGAAAAGAGAAGTTTTTAATAGAAAGGTGAAATTGTATTTTGCTTTGTTTTGTTTTATGGAAGAAGAACGCACTCCAAACCAGAAATGCGTGTGAGTGGGCAGCTGTGAGAGGACAGCTGGGCTGGAAATGGGGTCAGGCATTACTTTTATGTGGGGATCTTGTCATGGATATTTAGGAGCAGAGATGCGTCATTGTTGCTGACTTCTTCTATCTGTTTTGCATACTTCTCAGGTAAGAAAGCTGGTTACCCGATGACACGCACTCAGTATGGACTTTGAAGGTATGAACATCCACATTGGGACAATTCTGCCCTGAGTGGGAAGTAGAGTACTGACCAATCATCCCAGTGAATTCCCGTGTGCATGTGCAGAACCCAAAGAGGGAAGAATAAAGGTAGATAACCTCTCCTTTCTCGGCACGAGGGGATCTGGCTGCAATCCCCAGGAACAGTGATTGACATGTCAGATGTCCCCTTTGCTGGCCATTGGGACTCCCTGCTCATAATGTACCTATAATGCTATCAAGTACTGAAAATATGAAAAGTACCACCTATTGTTTTATATGAACTAAGTTCGCTTACTCTCAGAGAGTGATAACATTATCTCTATCTTTACAGAAAATGAGGAGCTAATAAGGATAAACCCATATCTGTCTGTCTCCAAAGCTGTCCTCTTTTTTTTTTTTTTAAGAATTATTTTATTTATGGGGCCAGCAGGTAGTGTGGTGGTTAGGGTGCTGGACTCCCACGTGGCTGACCATGGTTCAAGTCCCAGATCTGGTGGCTCGCCTTCTCACCTTCTATCTCTTTCTCTCTCTCTTTCTCTCTGGTGAGGCATGTGCCCTGTAGCAAATTGAATAATAATAATAATATGAGACCAATAAATGGCATAATTGTTGCATTATTGGACTCCCATGTATCCGACTGTGGTTCGAGTCCTGGACCCAGTGGCTTAAAAACTCACACTGGGTGCATGTGCATTTGTACCCAAGATCCTGAGAGGAGAATGAAGGAGAAAGGATTGTGGTGGCATAGCCATGCCTGCCCCCACCCCCCCGGGGAAGGTGAGATGTGATTTCTTGCTTCCTGTCTTTCTGTCTCTCTGTAGGGTACATGCCCTATAGCAAAGATCTCTTTTGGAAAAGAAAAAGATAAATGAAGTAAATAATTTTAAAAAAGACTTATTTACTTCATTTCATCTATCATTATTATTATTTAATTTGATTAGAGAAAGACAGCAAAAGAGAGGAAGAGTGGAAAGCAAGCCACCAGGTCTAGGACTTGAACCATGGTTGGCCACGTGGGTGTCCAGGACCTTAACTACTATGCTACCTGTAGGCCTTCAAAGCTGTCCTCTTAATTACTTTGATCTTTAGCAATTTCTTCTCAGGTCTTTACACCACAGTGCCCATACTGGTTCTTTCCACAAAGCTTAATAATATTTCATATTGGTGGACCTTTCTCCCTTTCCTTCTTCTCTACCTTGTTGCCAGGGATAACCTACTATACTAGTCTGCGAGGGCTGCTACAATAAAATACTGTGCTATGTTCTAACAGTTCTGGAGGCTAGAAGTCAAGGTATAGGGCAGGTTTGATTCCTTCTGGGGCCGATCTCCTTGACTGGCAGATAGCTTTCTTCTCCTCATGTTTTTACATGGTCATCTTTCCGTGTGTGTGTCTGTCTGTCTGTCTGTCTGAGGTCTCTTTGTCTGTTTAAACTTCCTCTTCTTACAAAATATCAGATAGCTTAGATTAGGGCCCTGCCTAAAGACCTCATTTAAACTTAAAAACTTATTTATTAATTTATTGCCAGAGGGTGCAAAAGCACCCCTAGTAAGACTCCATCAGACCACAATCTCTTTCTTCCGTTTCTCCTTCCCATTAGGATTTTTGGGCATGCATGTATGTGTTCACAATGTGTTTCTCAAGCCTCCAGGGCCTGGGTTCAAACCACAGTCAGCTATGTGAGATCTGGCTCCCAAGGGAGGGCCCAAACACCTCTTTAAGGACCTAATCCCTAGATATGGTTACCTTAGGGTGCATGCCCTCCCCTAGAGAGACAGTGAGCGGGAGAAAGTGATAACTCACCCCTCAGGGGGGTTGGCAACACTGCAATCCCTTTTCTTCCATTTTCCTCCTAGGATTTTGGTCATGCATGCACATGTGCCCAGTGTGGATTTCAAGCTGCCAGGTCCGGGACTGAAACTGTGGTCAGCCTTGAGGGAGTCCAGTGCCTTAACCAACAGGTCACTGCTGGCGCAATATGGTTACATTCTGAAGTATGGGGGTTTAGGATTTCAACACATGAATTTGGTGGGAAGAACACAATTCAGCTGTAAAACCTACCAAGTAAACCACTTTGCTTGAAATTTTATTTCATTTTTGGGTTGAGTAAGTGTCCCGTCCCTGTTCAGGCGCCAGGTGTCCCGACCCAGGGGGACAGCCGAACAGGTTTCCTGAGTGAAGGAGTGAGAGCCAGGACAAGCGGCGTAGTGTTACAACACGGAGACGACAGTGTCGTCCGTTTATTGTGGGCAGCACAGTACAGCACAGAGACGATGCAGTGTCGCGTCGTCTACTGTGAGCAGCACGGAGATGACGCGGTGTCACAACTCTTCAGGGTCGTCCGGAGACGATGTAGTGTTACAGCTCTTCAGGGTCTCCCAAGTCGTCTGGAGACGATGCAGTGTCAGCTCTTCAGGATCTTCAGGGTCGTCTGGAGACTGCGCGGTGTTTCAACTCTTCAGGCTCTTCAGTTGTCGGTGTCCTGCTCGTTGTCGTCTCCTCAGTCGTCTGTGTCGTCTGGCTACTGTGGGCCAGGCATCGTGGTTATATACACTCTGGTGGGTTGTAAACGGTGGGCCCTGATTGGTTGTAAATGGTGGGTTATGATTGGTTGCTTTTGGACCAATCATGAGGTGCTGGATATGCAAATTTGAGGGATTCTAGTGGCCAATCAGAGCAAGGTTTCGAAGGTCAGGTTTTTGGAAGGGAACCAATCATGGTAATTGTTTGCTCTCTGAGAAACCTCGGCAGACTCGCTGGTGTGCAGCTTCCCACAAGTAAGCACAAACTAAGATACAAAATATGGAAGCTGTTCTACACCTAGGGCTAAATGTTTCCTTACCATTTTTGTTGTGCTGGTCTATTGACAAGGACTTCTTTTAGTTTTCATCTATCTTAAAATGATTTTATTTCCTTTTTCTTCTTGAGGGATTTTGAAAAACAGATATTAATTTTTATAGCATTTCGGTGCACAGAAAATTGAGCAGAAGGTACAACAGGTTCTCATATACTCCCTGCTCCCACACCTGCATAGACTCCCCATTATCTATATCCTCCACCAGACTGGAATTGTTTAACTCACACTAATACGCCGTTATCTCCCGAGTCCATAGTTCATGTTAGGGTCTACTCTTTTTATATTTTATATCTTATGGGTCTGAACAAATGTATAATAGCATGTATCCACCATGATACAGAGCATGTTCATGACCCTAAAATATTCTGTGTTCTATATATTCATAAGTCCCTTCCCCACCTAACTTCTGTCAGCTGCTGATTTTTGCACTGTCTTCATACCTTTTCCTTTTCTAGAATGTGAAACGGTTGGGATCATGCAGTACATAGCCTTTTCAGATTGGCTTCTTTCACTTACTAATATGCATTAAGTCTCCTCCATATATCGTCATGACTTGATAGATCATTTCTGTTAGCACCAAATAATATTGTACCACTGCTGTGCCTCTAGGGTTTTATCCGCTCACCTACTGAAGGCCATCTTTGTTTCCTCCAGTTTCCGGCCATTATGACTAAAGCTGCTGTAAAAATATACATGCCTGGGACAGCAGTTGGTATATGGCTATGTCGCTGGACTCTCATGTAGTCGACCGCAGTTTGAGTCCCGGACCTGGTGGCTTAAACTGATGCCAGGCGCGTGTGCATACATGCCCAAGATCCTGAGAAGAGAATGGAGGAGAAGGGATTGTGGTATGGCCCAGCCCCCGGGGTGATGATTTCTGGCTTTCTGTCTGTCTCTCTGATGAGCACTCTCGCCCTATAGCAAAAACCTCTCAAAAAAAAAAAAAATCCTTATCTGGTAATTGGAGTACATGAAGCATCCTGGGGTTGGTCTGTAGTGATGATCTTTTCTTTGAGTGTTGGTCACAGTTTCCTACTTCTTATGTCTAATAATCTTGCACTGTGTCCTGGACATGGTGAATAAATGATACATTGTAAGAACTCAACATTTGATTTTTGTTTAGTAGATGGTTAACTCGGCATAACTCACTCTGAACTCTGTCTCCTTGATCTTGCTCAGGTCTTTTAACCTGGTATAGGCTGCTTAGATTCTGCCCTGTATATGCACTGTGCCAGAGTCAGCCAGATGTTTTCAAGTAGAATTTATACTCATGATCTGTGCTCCTCGTTTGTGGATCTCTCCTTCCTGGAAAAGTCTCCATTACATTCCAGCTGTTGTTGCTCCAAACTCTAACTTAATATTTAACCTATGGAATTTCAACTTTCTGAGTCTTAGCTACCTTGTTTGATTTTGACTGAAGCCTGCCCTCAGGTAGAGACATTAGAAATGGAAAACAAATATAGTGTATTTCATTTCTTTTAAGTGTTGATTTCTGTTCATTTTATGCCTGGGTTGCTCACTTGTCAATGTTTTCATATAACTGTTCTGTTTTGTTTGGGTTTAGAGTTTATAAGTGTTACTTGTGGAATGATTGGTCTGATATGTGACACTGCACCATTAATGGAGGTAGGATCTCTTTAAAAAAAACTACTATAGGGTAAGTGCAGACAGAAGAGAGAAACAGAGAGAGGGAGAGAGAAGCTAAGTGAGAGAGCGCTCTCCGGAGGAGTACAGCCACACTGCATTCCTTCTTCTCCATTTTCCTCTTGGGATTTTGGGCATGCATATGTACATGCGCAGTGTGTTTTTTCAAGCTGCCATTTGGCTATGTGGGATGACTACAGACACCTTAACCACTATGCCGTGGCTGGCCTATGAACCTGATTTTTATTTTCATTATACAGAGTGCATACATGTGCATGTGAGGGGGGAGAGAGAGAAATATAAAAGCACCCTCAGCAGGGGCTCATCATGCCACAGTCCCCTTTCCCCAGCCCTCCAGTTTGTCAGGATCTTAGTGTCTATGTGTGTGTTGTCATGTTTTCAGGCCAAACTAGAGCTCCAACTCTGTGGTAGGTCACGTGACTTCTAGCACTGCAGTTACCCACTGTCCTAGGCTGGGCCTCTCTTTTCTTTTCTTTCTCTTTTTTTCCCTTTTTCTTCCTTCCTTCATTTCTTTTCTTTTTTCTTTCTTTTTTTAAACTGGAAGGTGTGTGTACTTGCCAGAGACAAAAAGAGAGAGAAGAGAAAGCACTCCCCATGGAGAATGCTCATGCTGCAAATCTCTTGTTTTTCATCTCTCCCTCCTTCCAGGATTTTGGGGACAAATGTACATGTACCTAGTGTGTTTCTCAAGCAGCCAGATCCAGGACTCAAACTGTGAAATTAGGCATGTGGGATCCAGTAGCCTTAGCCACTAGGCAATGGAGCCAGCCCATCTCATTTTTTCTTCAACTAAGAAAAATCTGCTCCGTATCTAGACATTGGTATTATTTATTATTATTCTGACTTTTATTTTTGCCAGAGGGTGTATGCACTAGCTAGAGAGAGAAAAAGAAAGGAGAGGGAGAAAGCTTCTCCCCACTGGGGGTTGCTCATGTCACAATCCTCCTTTCTCCATCACAGTGAGATGTGGAGCACACAGGCCCAGGCATAGTTTTCTTTCTTTTTTTTTTTTGGAGAGGTTTTTGCTATAGGGCGCGTGCGCTCACCAGACAGACAGAGAGAGATAGAGAGACAGAAAGCGAGAAAGCACCCCCCAGGGGGGATGGTCACGCCGCAATCCCTTTTCCTCCATTCTCCTCTCGGGATCGTGGGCACGCATGCACACGCGCCTGGCGTGAGTTTTAAGCCACTGGGTCTGGGACGCGAACTGCGGTCGCCTACGTGGGAGTCCAGCGACATAGCCATTATGCTAACTGCTGGTTCCCTAGTTTTCTTTTTTATAAGAGAGAGATTTTTGTTATATTGTATGTGTGTTTGCCAGAGAGAGAGGGGAAAAGTGAGAAATCACCTTCTGAGGGGATGGCCACAACACAATTTCTTCTCCATTCTTTTCCTGGGATTTTGGGCACATGTGCATACGTAGCTGGTGTGAGCTTCAAGCTGCTGGGTCCAGGAATAGAACCAGGATCAGCCATGAGAGGATCAAGCACTTTAACCACTACACCACCCGCTAATCCTGAATTGGCATATTTTTCAAGCCACTGAGGCCAGAATTTGAACAGTACAGTCAGCCACATGGTATGTAACTCCCTTTCCACTAGGCCATGAGGCCAGTCCTATATTTATTTATTTACTTATGTATTTATATTAAATCCATTGCCCTCCATCGAAACAGATTTTATATTTTTAAACCTTTTAAATATAAACCTTTTGGAAAGCAGATCATGTCCCCATCATGCTGAAGTTTTCCCCTAACTTTCTACTGAAAAGAAGCAGCCACGTTCCCTTTTCTCCTGAGCCTCCATATCAATAGGACTGTCTTTGTCCTGACTTACCCTTTAATTCTGTTCCTGTGGGTGAGTGAGTAGAAACATTAGAGACTAGGAGATTTTTTCCAAGGTTAAGGACATTCCTGGGAACATTTCCAAGCATTCCATTCAATTATTCTCCTTTTATTGATGAGGATTTTATACAGAGTTTTTTCTGGAGGCTTGCACAGTAAGTTTCTGAATAAAGGGGATTTAAGTTCACATCCAATGGCATAACCTGAGAGAAGAAAGGATTATCACCCTGAGAAATGAGGCAGAGGAGGTGGATAACACTGCAGAGGGACTCAATCAGGCTACATAGTCGACTCAATTCAAGAAACCTTTACGTGCCAAATTATGTTGACCTAGGGGAAAACACACTGGAGAACACTATAAATGGCATAAGCACTTTAAAAATTAAGGTATAATTTACGTATATGTATTGTTATTATTTTTTTAGGTTTCTGCCATAAGACACGTGTGCTCACCAAAGGAGACAGAAAGGGAAAGTGAGAAATCCCTGGGGAGTGGGAGAGATGGCCATACTGCAATCTCTTCATTCTCCTCTCAGAATTTTGGGCGCATACATACGTGTGCCATGATTTTCAAGTGTGATCTTCAAGCCAGCAGGTCCAGGACTCCAACCAGGGTCAGCTGTGTGGGAATCCAGCTGCCCTAACCACCATGACACCTCCTGGCCCTTGTATGTATATACTTAAATGAACAATTATCTGAATGAATGACTAGAGTCCCTAAACAGCTTTCTGAGTAGCTACATAAGCCTCCCCCTTACCTGCAGCTTGGCTTTCCAGTTTCAGGTATTGTCACAGTTTGGAGTAAGACTCAGGAGCCGGTCACCTCAGGAGACAAAGGAAAGTGTATTGAGAGAAACAGTGCCCGGGATGTGAAGCTGGTGGCGTTCAGCCCACCCTACTGAGGGCACGTGCTGCGTTTATATGGGAGGGGTGGAGGGGCAAGTCATGAACATGCTGGGTATTTTGAGTAGTTTACTTGCCTTGCAGGTAAGCTAATCTCACTTTCTCACAAACCTTGCAGGTCCATATATGGGCATTGGTGGGTATTGGCTGCCAGTAGGGGAGGGTTCTGGCCAGAGGGTTCAGGCCAAAGGTCGTTGTAACCATCTCTTTATTTTCTGATGGGAAATTACCTAAAGATATTTTGAGATAAAGGAAGACTACATTCACATCATTTTTATTACAGTATATTGTTATCATTATTCTATGTATTATTAGTTATTGCTATTAATTTCTCACTGTGCATGCTATATAAACTTTGTTATAGGCATACACGTATTGAAAAATCTCATGTGTAGGGTCGGTAATGACTGTTGTTCCAGGCATCCAGTGGAACGTGTTCCCCACGGATGAGGGCCTACTGTGTTCTATTGCAGATATGAAGTGAAATGGTGCCCTCTCCTCCTCCTCCCACGTACCATTATTGGAGATGCCCGGGGCCTGTTCAGAGCTATTTATGGTGGCAATAAACTGTTACATCGGTAAGGTCAAGCCTGGAGTGGCTGAGTTTAAAGATGGACACAGGAGGGATTCTGCTCTCAAGGAACTCCTTTGGAAAATGTCATCAAACCATCCTGGGATGAGAAGGAAAGTCTGTATTTCTTTCTCTAACTCGAGCACCTCACTTCCTGTCCTAATTATTTCATTTTTTATTGGCTATACCCTTTTCTTGATATTTGACCTTAATAACTGAGCTAAAGGGCCAGCAGCGGTGTGGGGTTTAAGGCAGCTGGATCCCACATGGCCAACAATGCAGTTTGAGTCCCCTGGCCTAGTGGTTTGAAAATCATGCCAGGTGCATGTGCTTGTGTGTCCAAAATCCCAAGAGGAGAATGGAGAAGAGATTGAGGTGCGGCCACCCCTTGAGGGGTGATTTCTAACCTCTCTCTCTGGTGAGCACTTGTTCCTTTTAGCAATAAAACAAACAAAAGATAAAAGACAAAGAGACAAAGTCATATGTGACTAAATTTGTCATCATTAAAATAGTGTTTATTAGGGACCAGCAGGTGGTACAGTGGTTAAGGTGTTGGACACTCCCCAACCATGGTTCAAGTCCTGGGCCTGGTGATTTGCTTTCTCACTTTTCCTCTTTCTCTCTGTGTCTCTCTCTGGTCAAATTAAAATAAGTGAATGAATAAATAAAATTCTTTTTTTTTTTTTTTTAAGTAGTGTTTATTGTGGCTGGCGGGGGGGGGGGGGGTTTTTGGGCCCGGGCTTCCAGCTGATTATGGGCACTGGACTTCCACATGGCCGACCACAGTTTGAATCCTGGACCTGACAGGTTGCTTTCTCACTTTCCCTCGCTCTCTCACTCTGTCCCTCTCTGGTCAAAGTCAAATATAAATAAATAAATAAAAAGATAAAAGAATTCTTTAGAAAAAAATAGCGTTTATTTTAGACTTTGTGAAAGAGAAGCAGTTATCACTTGGAGCATTTGGAAACTGAGAAAATAAAATCTCACCAGATATAGCAATCTGTAAATCTCTTCCAACAACGGGCTTTCCTCATGATGTTGCTGGAATGTTTCCTTCACTCTGGACAGCTTTCCTGAGCTTGCTCACCTCAAACCTGGCTTGTGTGCTCTTTGTGCATATTAGCATCGTATAATATTATTTACCGCACTCTATTGAAGCTGCCTGTGTACTCACCTGCCTTCCCCATTGGATGATCTGCTTCTCGAGGAAATGCTCTCTCTCATTAACTTTCTATCTTAGACCTTAGGTCAGGACCTGGAGTAAGACAGATACTCGGTAGGTGCTTGTTGAATAAACGAAGACTGCCAAGACACAGCTAGAAATATCAACATGCTGGGTAAATAGGCCATGTCTATATGCATTTCAGGGAAAAGTTTAGAAGCAAATATGATTCTATGTTCTGAAATTGACTTTATTTATCTTTTAATTTATGTTTTCAATAATTTATAGCTAGACTTTTACAAGGCATTCCTGTACTAAGTCATGGAAACCACAGTATTTGCCATCATTTAATAAATTGAAAATGCAGGACCAGCAGTTAGCATAATGGCTATGTTGCTGGACTCCCACGTAGTTGACCGTGGTTCACGTCCCGGACCTGGTGGCTTAAACTCACGCCGGGCGCGTGTATGTGTGTGCCCAAGATCCCTAGAGGAGAATTGAGGAGAAGGGATTGTGGCATGCCCATCTCCCCTGGGGGGTGATTTCTCACTTTCTGTCTCTGTCTCTCTCTGTCTGTCTGGCGAGCGCACGTGACTTATAGCAAAAAACCTCTCCAAAAAGAAAAAAAGAAAGAAAATGCAAGGCTTATCTCTAACATGGATCCTTTTTTTATTATTTTTTTTCTAGATTTTTGGCACGTGTACTTACTAGAGAGAAATAAGAGAGAGAGGGAAAATAAAAAATCATCCTCCAGGAGTGATGGCCACACTGCCATCCCTTTTTCTCCATTCTCTTCTTGGAATTTTGAGCATGCATGCACAAGTGCGTGGCTGGTTTCTTAGGCCACCAGGTCTGGGACTCAGACTATGGATTGACCATGTGGGATCCAGTGCCTTAACCACTATGCCACCTGCTGGTCTTAACATGGACTCATTTTCGAACTATGTTTTTTTCACAGTAAAAAGGATTCTATTAAAGTTTTTAGAAATGAAAGAAAATATTTAGTCTTGATACCCTTTCTGTAATTATTCATACTGTGTATATTTGTTTCTCTCAGTATTTGATGGTTTACTAGGAAAAGAGGTTAGAATGTATGACTCAGAACCTGTTTTATTTATGAGGCAAAATTTGGAGCCTTGTCATCTCTAAGAACTAGCTTATATTTTACTTGTCCTTACAAAGGTTCTATTACTGAGTCATTTTGCTTTAAAGTCTGGGAGGAGCATGTACTTCTTTTTTTTTTTTTTGGAGAGATTTTCACTGTAGGGCGTGTGCGCTCGCCAGACAGAGAGAGAGAGACATAGAGACAGAAAGCGAGAAATCACCCCCCAGGGGGGATGGTCACGCCGCAATCCCTTCTCCTCCATTCTCCTCTCGGGATCTTGGGCACGCACGCACACACGCCCGGCGTGAGTTTTAAGCCACCGGGTCCGGGACACGAACCGCGGTCGACTACGTGGGAGTCCAGCGACATAGCCATTACGCTAACTGCTGGTTCCCAGGAGCATGTACTTCTGATCACCCGGTAAACTCTTAACTACTGCTACCCTGTCAAGGGGATACCTCTGTTAGCCACACACCAAGAAGCTGGATTATGATAGCAATGTAAGAGTTCGGTCAATAGGTGTGGCCAAATGTTTTTCTTCCTGAGAAGAACTTAACCCCATTCATCATTTATTTTCTAAAAGATAAGATGCTTTCGGTTCTTTGTCCAATAACAGTAGGCTAATCACTTTCCACTCAGTTTTCCAGCAGAGAACCTTGAATTATCAGCTTGATCTGTGGAGGAAATTCAATTTCTAAGTGGAAAGGGAAGGGAAGCCCCCTAAGGAAAGGAAGAATGAAATCAGAAAGGTTTTCCTTTAGGAAGAAATATTGAAAAAAGAAACAAATGGACTTGTGAATGTTGGTGAGTAAAAAACAGGCAACAGAAAGAAAGAGAAGAAATTAGAATATAGTATTATTTCACACCACTGTCCACAGATAAAGGAAAATCTTTTTTTTTTTTTCAATTCTTCTCACTGTTAAAAGAAGTATAACGTAGGGATTATACAGTAGGGTATCTAACTCAAGTGCCACACTGAGGTTTAAATGCCCACTCTGCCATCGTGCTTCTCCAAGATTGTTTTTCAGTCTGTAAATAGAAGTGATAATAATAGCTCCTACCTTGAAAAGTTATTTTAAGGATTAAATAAGATAATTAAGAGGATGGCATGTGCATGGTGTTCAACAAATACCAGTTATTTTTATTGTTTCTAGTTATCCTACCTTACAGTCTTTAATCAATTATAGTCCCCACCTCCTTTTTTTTAGTTTGCTATAGGGTACATGCACTTGCCAGAGGGAGACACACACACACACACACAGAGTGAGAAATAGCCCCCTGGGGGGGGTGGCCATGCCTCAATCCCTTCTTCTCCAGTCTTCTCTTGGTATTTTGGGCACATATGCACAAGCACTTGGAATGATTTTCAAGCTGCTGGGTCCTGGACTCAAACTGCAAAATTATGGTATTTCCAACAATTGGTAGCTAGACTTTTACAAGACCTTCCTATTGTAATAAGTCATAGAAATTGTGGTATTTGTCATTATTTAACAAACTGAAAGTGCTAATCCCGTGTGAGATCCTGTTCCTTAACCTCAAACCACCTGCTGTCCTTTTTTTTCTTTCTTTTGGAGAGGTTTTCACTATAGGGCACGTGCGCTCGCCAGACAGACAGAGAGAGACAGAGAGACAGAAAGCGAGAAATCACCCCCCAGGGGGGATGGTCACGCTGCAATCCCTTCTCCTCTGTTCTCCTCTCGGGATCTTGGGTACACACGCACACGCGCCCGGCGTGAGTTTAAGCCTCCGGGTCTGGGACTCAAACCGCGGTCGACTACGTGGGAGTGCAGTGACATAGCCATTACACTAACTGCTGATCCCATGTCCTATAATCCTTTTTAATTTCATTTCCTTGGAAGTAGAAAGGCTAGGAATGAAGAGGCACAGATCACAAACTGCAGTTTCTGAGGAGGACTGCATCTTATTTACTATTGTATTCCCAGTGCCTAGGATAGTGCCTGGAGCACACACACAGTCGATATTTGTTGAAGAAATGGAAGAACCAATATTATCTTTTTTTTCCAGTATCATTATTATTATTGATATTATTATTATTTTGCTATAGGGGTGCATGTGCTTGCCAGAGAGAAAGAGAGCAAGCTGGAAAGTGAGAAATCCCCCCCCCCCAGGGTAGATGGCCACATGGCAATCCCTTCTCCACTCCTCTTGGATTTGGGGCACATACACACATGCACCCAGGTAATTCTCAAGCCACTGAGTCTAAGATTCACAATGCGAAGCTGGTCATGTAGGACCTGCTGGCCTGACCTAGTATCATTATTACTATTTTGAGTTGTGTAGGAGTCTTTATTATTTTGTTTTTAGTTTTCAGATTAATTTCGCAGATTATATATTCTCCATTATGATGTATACTATACACACACACACACACACACAGAACTTTACATTTCTGTCTGTTAAACATTCCTTCCCTTTGCACCTCACACTCACCCTCTACCATCCACTCTCCTCTCTTACAGTCTCTAGTTTCTACACATATCCTCACCACTATCATATTTTCAGCTCTCAATTTCTGCCATAGAGTGCAGATATTTTATATAAATTGAGTGGAGATATGCAGTGTGTATTTTTCAAAGTCTGGCTCACTTCTCTCATCATTAAATCTTCTATATTCATTCACGTCAAATCAGATGATAAGACCACATTGTTTCTAATAGCTGAGCAATATTCCATAGTATATATGTGCCACAGTGTTTC